TCCTCACCTGCAACAGATCAGCACTCATTAGAGGGGGATTGAGGAGAAACTCTCAACTCATGGATTATTACATGTAGAATATGGTCATGTAGAATATGGTCATATGGTCATGTAGAATATGGTCATGTAGAATATGGTCATGTAGAATATGGTCATGTAGAATATGGTCATGTAGAATATGGTCATGTAGAATATGGTCATGTAGAATATGGTCATGTAGAATATGGTCATGTAGAATATGGTCATGTAGAATATGGTCATGTAGAATATGGTCATGTAGAATATGGTCATGTAGAATGGTCATGTAGAATATGGTCATGTAGAATATGGTCATGTAGAATATGGTCATGTAGAATATGGTCATGTAGAATATGGTCATGTAGAATATGGTCATGTAGAATATGGTCATGTAGAATATGGTCATGTAGAATATGGTCATGTAGAAGTGTTTTATAAGGACTAATGAAGAGCCAATATGCTGCTAATATGCACGTTCATTAAAACTAGTTGATGGTGAATTTGTGTACCTTAATATAAAGTGTTACCGAAAAAATATAGTAAAATCAAATAAAGCAGAATTACATTGAAATAGAATGTAATAAAATATAAAAGATGTGAACTAAAATAACAGATTTGTCAACATAGCGACTTGCAGCAGATCATATTTTATATTTTCGCGGGCTTTGTTCCTGTTTACGTCTCGTTGCCATGGAGACGGTTCTGAAACCTCGTTGTGGTCGTGCCAGCTCGGCTGCCCAGCTCCTGCAGAGGCTCACTTCCTGTTCACACTTCACTCTTCTTTTGAAATGAGCCTTCACTAACGATCATTTGAGTCACAGTTTCATCAGCGGAGCGACCGAGGAGGAAACACAAGATAACAGAGCACACTTTAAAAACAGCGTCATCTCAAGGTGCTTCACAGGCTAGACAATAACAAGACAAGTCAAATAAAAAGATATCTAAGGAGCATATTCAATAACATATGGTAATATAAAAAAATAAGGGCAAAAAAAGGTTAAGAGCATAAAATATCAAATTATTTATTAGTAACCTTTATAAAATATTTGACCTCCACCTAAGAGTATTACAATATTTTTCTTAGTGTATTCAGAATTGTTTTTAATTAAATATAATTTGACTTTTTTCCAAATTATTATGACTTTATTTCTTGAAATTTTACAATATTTTTCTCTAAAATTAACAATTTTTTTCATAAAATAATCTGACATTTTTTTACAACTTTTTTTCTAAAGATCAGAATATTTCCCTCAAAGTATTATAACTTGTTTTCATGAAATATTCCGTTGTATTTACCTCTACATGTTAACAACACTTGAAGCTCACTTCTGATTGGTCCTGAGGGTCTCCATGCAACATGCACTGACAACAAGACCCTAAACACCAGCAGTCCCTCTCTGAGACACTAGGTGGCGCTGTGAGGCCCTCTGTGTGGGAACAGCTGCTGAATAATGAGTGAGTCGGTTAGAAACACAGAGAACACTCTTCTTATTATTCTTTAACCTGTTAAACCCTGTTTTCCAGGTCTCAGGCTCCAAAATGACATTCCCAGAACAAATGACCATATCTTCTAAAAGGGGAAAATTAATAATCTTTTCCCTCAAAGTATTGATAAACCTGTGAGTTGGATTTAGAAAAGTGAGAATCAATATGGATGTTTTTTATTTAAAGTAAATTCAGATTGAACATTGTAAAAAACTGTAAATTATAGTGTCCGTCCAAAAATTATTTTTTACTTATAGTGAAAACTACCCTTGGATGATGGTGAGGTAGACTAAAAGCTTTAGGAATCCAAAGTACAACATATAAAAGTACCCTGTATCAAGATTGATGCAAAACAAGTGACATTTGACCTTTTTAGAGAGGTTTTGCAAAAAACTCCACCTCTGAGGTGATTTGGGTGGAAATGGGGGTTTTACCGTTTCTCTGGAACCCATTGGTCGATTTTGGTGATTGACATTTCTTTCTGACCGTTAGAGCCAATAGAATAGAAGGGGAATCTCCCCACACACAGTAAAACAAAAAGGTGGGGGCTTCGCGCACGCAGTTTTGCTCCAGAGTGAAGCTGTCTCTAGGTCTGACATCTCAAAACCGAAAAGCAGATTTATTGCTCATGGATTATCAGAAATCATTCAAAGTGACAGACACATTGGATTAACTTCAGCATCGTTTTAATGCCATTGAAGACCACTTTTGACCAGACTAAAACAGGTGAGCCGTGTTAGCGTTTCTAGCTACCTAGCTCCATATGTTTTGATGTTTGTTCTTGTTATTATCTCCAAGAGTTCGTATAATTGAGTGATAATGAAGGGTACCCCTTGATTCCGTGTCTCCTCACAATGTGTTGTTGGATGTGCAGCAAAGATAAATAATAAGGTTTTGTGAGTGAATTTTCAGTGCAGTCATCTGTTAGCATTTTTCGCTCGTTGCTAATTCAGAGGCTCAGCGTTAGCATTGTGTGATTTTAAAAAAAATATAATATTAAAATGATCAGTTAGATGAGTTTCTTTCCGTTACATGGATATAAAACATTCATAGTTTATTAAATGAACATGCCCTCATACACCGTTTACTGCAAGATGTTGCAGGAGGCCCCCAGTACCGGGGTCTCTCCGGCTTAACAGGTTAATGCAGTCTTGCACACCTTTTTTTTGCAGTCTGCTTAATCTTATGATCACTTTAATTTATTGAATTCATCTTTTGTCTGTAAAATGTCTCCCATCACAAGTTATTGAGTAAAAATGTGATAGTAACCAATTTATAGTTCAACGTATGCCAGATATTCAGTTACTCAACTTCTAACCATTTCAGTACCCTTTAAATAATATGACATGAATGCAAACCTGAGAAGGAGCTTTGGAATCCTCCTCTGCCTCCACCACCTGTGAAGAATCAGAAAAACACTTATTTATATCATTTATATCCTCTAGGGCAGATATAGTTATGGTTCATCCTGTCAACACTTACCCCTTCCATATTTCCCCCGGTCAGAGTTCCAGGAGTCACCTTGTGTGCATAAAGGTGTTAATGTCCAATAATGCATCATCTTAACATAAACACATATCAAATTTCTCCAAATGCCTGTACTCTTATTTTTCATATAGAACAGCCAATTTGAATTCTTAAGGACAGGCCAGTCCATTGTACACGTTATAGAGTGACTGTACATGCACTCATAATGGCAAATAATGATCACCAAATAATTTGCAGAATTTACAGTAGACATACCTTGACTTGATTGGCTGGTTACTGTAGTAGTTCCCTGTAAAGATAATAAACTCACATCAGGTGCTGACCCGACTCAGCTTGACATAAGTGACTCGGTTTTGTTAGCACTTCAACAGTACACTAGCTTACCTCGTCCCACTCGTCCATTTTGTTCACCTTAAAGAAAATCATACCATAAGGTCAACATTCAGATCTCACAACAGGATAACAATTAACATTACAAATATTCAGGGAAGGAAAAGTATTTAGATCAATTTCTTAAGTAAAAATATTGCACTAAAAATACTCTGTTAAATGTAAAGGTATTTCATTTAAAAAAGGTACTGAAGTAAAGGTATACAAAAAGGTACTGAAGTAAAAGTATACAAGTATGAGCAGGAAAATGTACTTAAGTATAAGGAGTAAAAGTTCACATTGCAAAAAGAAAATAAACTTTAAAATTAATTATTGGAAATGCAGCATATATTTTTCCTTTATTTTCCGCACAAAAAATACTTGTATTAGGGGTTCTTAATTATAATGTAGGATAGTTTAATGTAAGAGTTCATATATTTGTGTGAAAATCAGGATTAATAAAATAACTAAAAGTTTAAAAATAAATTTAGTTAAAAGTACAATTTATCCCTTTCAATAGTTGAATAAAAGTACTAAGTGGTACAGTATATAAATACTTAATTAAAGTAAAAGTACCTGAAATGCGTACAGTACTTTAGTAAATATACTTCGTTACTTTCTATCACCGATGTTGGTTTAATTTGGTTGTGAATCTATCTGAAGGACAGGGCGGAACAAATAATTTAAAAAACACAAATGTAAAAATGCATATAGTAAAACGAAGAATTAACATTTAATTCAATTTCTTATTAAATCATCAATTGAAATGTGTTTTGTTAACACTTACTGTCGTATGAACCGTTGGCGACCTCGTGGCTTTAGCAAAGCAGCTGTTAAGCTAACTTGCTAAAACCAAGTCTAAATTGCGTAAAAACGAACAAACCTGAGGAAGCATATCACATCCTTACTTTATCTATTCAGTTGAACTGAAATTCGTATTCGAAACCCATTTAGGACAGGCTTTATCAAGTTTAGCCGCTTGTTAAAAAAAAGCATTGCTACCACGTGTGCGGTTATCACCATGTGCAGCACCAATGCTAATCTTGAAGAGCAGGACAACTCATTAATGCCTTGACGTCGATGCACTCCAAGAAAGACCAAATTACCATTGAAAGGTTTTTTAATTATATGGTTTGGTAAGAACATGTAGTCCAATTAGAATGTGACGGCAATGTTAAAAAATCACGCCGAATAGAAGCAGCAAGGTGTGGCGGTAGCTACAACTAGTCAATTGTAGCTAGCGCCACACCTTAGCAAAGCTAGCGCCGCACCTTAGCTAGCTACAACTAGCTAATTGTAGCTAGCGTCACACCATGCTGCTGCTAACTCCGCGAAGTAAAACACAATTTTGTGAAATTCTGTTTTTGTAAAACTGTTTAAGGGCCGGTTAGGGAAATATATTGGCAAATATCATGACCATACCTGTGTGAATGCTTCTCAAGTGGAATATTGTAGCTTTCTCCCTCGTGGCGTGGCTCAGCTTGGTCAGGACACGTCTGCTCTCGTTGTGTGACGGTGAAAGACTAAGTGTCGCGCGCAAAGTGTGCAGATTTGCACACAGCGCAGAGATCTGAGGTTGCCAGTTCTGCTTATGTCCTGCAAAACTGCAATTTGTTGTTAATAGAAAAAAATATGAATTAAAATGAATCCCGTATATTCAATACTGAGAAAGTGATGTTGCCTCACACTGCGCTTCTGTTACCTTCGGTGTCCAGGAAGCCATGCACAGTGTAGAATATTAATAATAACCCTGTCAAAATAGAAAGACATGATGAAATGTAGCTTTTTTTATGACTTTTGCACTTGATTATTTTTGTATTACTTTTTCTACCTAAAAAACTGAAAAGTCCTACAAACATATTTCAAGCAGGCATTGTAAACCTCACAACTGCAACGTAGTAAACACTGATAACTATAAAACGTTTATTTTAAGTTCTTCAACATAACTTTGTATTTAATTTAATACGGAAGTAGGGCAACACTTTTGTGAGGTAACTGTTCAGTTTGCACCTGTTCTGTAGTAATGTCTACATTTGTATCAAACTGTGTGTGTTTATGTAGACAGGGGAGACAAACTCAAGGCCTTCATTTGATGTGGCCCGCAAGAGCTTGCAAATAATATGACGTAGTTAATTATGAAGTTATTAGCCTATCCAATAATAATCCAATGCATAGGCAATAATGTAATATAATACATAATTATATATATATATATATATAATATATATATAGTTATATAGTTGTATAGTCTAAAGTTACAACCGGAAACGGCCCTTTGAGTGCAACCTTAATGCTAATGTGGCCCCCGATGAAATTGAGTTTGACACCGCTGATTTAGAATATGTTAACCAATATTTAATATAATAAACCCTGACAAGCTGTCGCTTACATTCGACTTCATGCATGCATATTTGAGTATTTATTTGAATAATGATACATACAGTAGGCTTCTTGTCCCAAAAATAAAACATAAATAAAATAAAAACATTAAATAAAACGAATATCTTAAATTATAAAATAATATACTGTGAGAAATGTGAATCAGGCTGCTCTGATGTTTGTCATTGAATAATGCTATATTGTCCCAAAAATAAAACATAAAAAAACGTAATATAATATATAGGCTACTATATTGTACCATATATCATACATCATACCATGATATATATACAATCTGAATATATGTTTTTATTCACTTGTAGCTATGGCCCAATGATGAATAAAATGAGTCCAGTTCCTTGAAGTGTTATGATCCACTCCAGCAGGTCTTTTAGCTAGAAGGCAGTGCATTGTGGGATGTCGGTTTATGGAGAAGTCAAGATGGCTGTGAACCTCAGGCAGAGCAAAGAGCCTGCTGTACGAAGGCCGTTAATGAAGTTTTGAATAAAATATCCCGTTTAGACTCAAACCAACGTGCTATTGAAGGTGTAACCATCCCGTGGAGGACTTGATACAAACACAGACAGCAACAGGATAAGAAACAACTGAGGATAAAGTGTCGTATGAATTCCGACGAGAAGGAGGACTGTGAGTGTGCGCCACTACAGGCCGAGACTAGCCCCGCAGAAGGAACACATAGGTGGGGACGCCAGCAGGAAAGAGTCGGGGATGCTAGGAGCGTGCTAAAAGTGATAGCTAACTAGCTTAATGTATTTGGGACCTCTGTGCATACTATTGCTCTGTTGTTTTAATAAATATAATCAGGCAAAATTCACAGCAAGTACTGGCTGCTTAAAAAGTGACTTTGCAAACGTCATTTCTGAATCAATAATAATAATAGGTGAAATAAGGAAAGCATGCTAGCTAGTTGTTGCTATATTATCTTGCTAAGTCAGCGTCAGGATGTGCAGATCCCTCTCATTTCTACTAGCGTTACTTGACTAGTGCTATTGCCACTCTATGCTTAGATTGTAGGATTTCGCTAACGTTGACAGTCATTTGCATTAACAGCGTACACGTATTAACACATATCAGAACACTGATTGTGGGCCAAATCCACACAAGGCTAACCTGCTTCTACAACGACTCTAATGTTGCCTTATGGCTAGCATGTCATGTTCCCATCATTCCTAAATTCCGCCTAAGTCATAAATAAAAAATATGTTCTAATATTGCACATTGATTCCCTATGCAACATACAGGACAGAAAGTGAATGTATACGTTGTATTGATCATGTCAAAGCAACATAGCGTGACCTCTGCTATGTTTCTTATTCTTATTATCTGTTTGTTCTACTAGAGAATACGAGGAGCCTGAAATAGAAAACCCAGAAGCAAGCCGAATGTAAGTCAAACTCATATTATATTAGTAAATACTTATACTATATGATTCTGTGTCTGCGTATTTATTTAAGACTGCCCCCCCCCCCCCTCCACACCCGCAGATCTCACCACTGTTCTATTCTATTCTCACTTCTTGTTTTCTTCTTGTTTGCCATCAGAAGCCTGTTGACAGTTGGTTGTTACCATGTTAATGGTGAACCAAAGTGATAGAACTTTGCAAAAAAGTGACACTAGGCAATCTTTGCAAATAGGTTTTTCTAAGTTGCTCCTGTGGTAGTGCAACGTATAGATGTATTATAAACAGTTAGAAGATCATGTCATTATTTAAAGACAATGGTTAAGTTTAAAAAAGCATCAGCTATATGAAAGCTTGGTGTATAAAGCTAGTGCTTCAAATACACCTGTTTTGTTCAATGATAAAGCCAAGAATGATCTTTTGTGCTGAAATTAAAGAGAGCCTTGGCAACAAACAAAAGAAAGGGGGAAACTGGTATCTGTCAACAGGGCTCAATTACACCCATCTCATACGTGAGTAACCGTAATTGCAGATAGATTTTTCTAAATGCTCCAACATATTGAATGTATCTCTTAATAACAAGGAACAGCCTGAAAGTATAGAGTATGGATGCTTGTCAGCAAGAGTCAACCATTAAACAAAGAAAACACATTTATTAGATGTATTATATTTATATTAATGAATGCAATGTATTAAAGCCAAGAATGCAGTCATACAACTGTCCTGAGTTTTTAGAAGTTCAAACGTGATTACTCATAACCTTAACTATTTTCTAATGTACTAATTACTGTTAATGATGAGAAAAGGTGATTTACACACTCGCATGTTGTGCTTCCCCTCTGAATGCAGGAAGCGAGCAGCTGCCAAACATCTAATAGAGCGCTACTACCACCAGTTAACCGAGGGCTGTGGGAATGAGTCGTGCTCCAACTCATGGTGTGCCTCATCAGTCGGTTTCAACCGCATGGATAACAACGCAGCGGCCGTCAAAGCGCTGGAGCTCTACAAGGTCAACGCTAAGCTATGTGACACCCACCCCTCAAAGAAAGTCACTGCCTCAGCCCACCTGGAGAGTAGCGCTCACAGCAACTCAGCCTGCAGCAACAGCCAGTTGAACCATAAAGTTTCCCACTCGGTCCGGGACAATTTCAAAGGTGAGTGGACGCCAGATATTCAGGATTTAAATACTTTTTATTCATAAAGTGAAGCGGAATAAGCTGTGAAAGTCTGTTGATCTGTTTTTCTCCATTTCTTTCCTAGATGTGAATTACCTGACAGAAGAGAAAGTGTACGAGATTTTGGACATCTGTGGAGAGCAGGAAGATTACTCGCCTCTGATCCGGGTAATAGGCCGGGTGTTCTCCAGTGCTGAGGGCCTGGTGCAGAGCTTCCGGAGATCCAAACCTCACACCAAGGAGGAGCTCAAGTCCCTTCAAGGTAAGGATGAGGACAAGGATGAGGATGAGAAGGAGGCCGCAGCCTGCTCTGCTACAGCTATGGAGGAAGACTCCCCTGCCTCCTCTTCATCAGCCAGGCTCGGCGAGGGCTCCTCAGGGGAAAGCGAAGTCCAAAGGCTGTCCCCTGACGAGCTGTCGGTGGACATTGACGCTGTGCGGCGGGTCTACGAGCGGCTGCTTTCCAATGAGAAGATAGAAGCCGCCTTCCTGAATGCGCTGGTTTACCTCTCACCCAACGTAGAGTGCGACCTGACGTACCACAACGTGTACTCACGAGACCAAAACTACCTGAACCTGTTTGTTATAGTGATGGAGAACAGCAACCTCCACAGCCCCGAGTACCTGGAGATCGCCCTGCCACAGTTCTGCAAGGCGATGAGTAAACTCCCCCTGCCAGCCCAGGCCAAGCTGGCAGGCTTGTGGTCGCACTACAGCGCAGAGCAGATCCGACGCATGGTGGAGACCTTCCAGCAGCTCATCACCTACAAGGTGATCAGTAACGAGTTCAACAGCCGCAACCTGGTCAACGACGACGACGCAGTGGTGGCATCCACCAAGTGCTTGAAGATTGTCTACTATGCAAACGTGCTTGGCGGCGACCTGGACATGGAGCACAACGAGGACGAGGACGAGGAGCCCATCCCAGAGTCCAGCGAGCTCACTCTGCAGGAGCTGCTGGGGGAGGAGCGGCGGAACAAGAAGGGCCCCCGGGTGGACCCCCTGGAGACAGAGCTGGGGATCCGCACCAACGACTGTCGGAAGCCGCTCATTTCCTTCGAGGAGTTTGTCAACGAGCCTCTGAACGAGGTGCTGGAGATGGACAAGGACTACACTTTCTTTAAGGTTGAAACTGAAAATAAGTTCTCCTTTATGACATGCCCTTTCATTCTGAACGCCGTCACAAAGAACCTGGGTCTGTATTACGACAACCGCATCCGCATGTACAGCGAGCGGCGCATCACTGTGCTCTACAGCCTGGTCCAGGGTCAGCAGCTCAACCCCTATCTGAGGCTCAAAGTGCGCCGAGACCACATCATCGACGACGCGCTGGTCAGGGTATGTGTGTTCAATATGTACAATTCAGGCTTCTTTGTCATATTGGTTCAGTTTGTAACACTGATCTGTTCCACTTGTGTGTCTGTAGCTGGAAATGATAGCAATGGAGAATCCTGCAGACTTGAAGAAGCAGCTGTACGTGGAGTTTGAAGGAGAGCAAGGTGTCGATGAAGGAGGGGTCTCCAAAGAGTTCTTCCAGCTGGTGGTGGAGGAGATCTTCAACCCAGATATCGGTGAGAAAACACACAACAACTAGCATTTATGTTGCTACACACCTGGTGATCTTAAGACTTCAATAGCTGACACTGTACTTTTGAATGCCATCGGCCTCATTTTAAACACATCATCTAGATCAGGGGTCTCCAACCTTTCTTCACCTGAGAGCTACTTTGAAAAAATGAAAGTGGCCAAAAATCACTTGCATCACATCGCTTACGTTTATTCACATAGCCCTCATCGCTGCAAGAATGACTATTTTCTATGATTACATTATTATTAGGGATGCACCGAATATTCGGCCGCCGAAAATGATCGGCCGAAAATGGTTAAAAAGGCCCTTTCGGCCGAAAGGGTTCTAGCACCAAAAAAATATCACCGAATGTCAGAGAACAGGGTTACGTTGGTAAGCCAACGTGTTGTTGTGATGACGTAATCAAAACGCGGCGACAAGCACGGCGCGCGACCATGCTCGCGGCTGGCTCACAGCCAACATGTCTGCCGCTTGGAGATATTTAAAAATATCAGAGAAAGAGGCACGGATTGCGATTTGTAAAACGTGTTCAGCTGACATTTCTCGAGGGGGTGTAACTGCAAAGACTTTCACCACTTCGGGATTACTCCACCACTTGAAATCAAAACACCCGGACAAATATGCGGAGTAACATCAAATCACAAGCACTGACAGCGAGAGACTGTTCAGCACTGCCTCTCATGTGCTTGATGAGAAGAGGAACAGACTTATGACTGATAAAGCAGAGAAGCTAATGTTCATTAAAAAGAACCTCCCACTTTTCCTTAATAAGTAGACAAGGCTGGCTTATCATAAGCTTATCTAGTGCTACATGTCTACTCTATACCCACTTTCCTGAACAATTTTCATTGTGAGTTATAATTCACCATCTCAGGTTATCATTAGGGGGAAATGACAGCAGCACAGTGTTCAATATTGTACTTTCGGTATCTAAATGATACTATGTTGTTAACATTGCTCATGAGGACAGACCACCTTATTTGCAGATTCTTGAAATTGTAATTTAATTTGTAATTGATTGTGGATTTTGTATCCAGTTTTCACTTTATGTATCTTTATACAATGTTTACTACTTTGCTTATGAGGACAGACAGCC